ACCCCGCTCCCAGCCCCCCTCCTGGACCACCTGGACCCAGGACTGGATCCTCTCCTTCCGCCAGCTCCTCAACAACGTCCGGTTCTGGGGCCGCGGGGGCCTGAACGTGCACCGGTACTGGATCTGGAAGGCGCTGCAGGCGCGCACACACGCGGAGCTCTGGACGGACCCGCGGGGGTATTACTTCTGCAATGTGATTGCGGTGAGTGCGGAGATGAGGGGGATGGGGGTTGGGCGGCGGTTGGTGGAGGCTGTGACGGCGCGGGCGGACGCGGAGGGGGTGCGCTGCTACCTGGAGAGTTCGAAGGGGGTGCCGAATCTGGTGATCTATGAGAAACTGGGGTTTAGGATGGTGAAGGAGATTGAGTGTGTGGATGGGTGGGAGTCGTGCAAGGTATGTTTCTTGTTTCTGGGGAGTTGGGTTGGCTGACGAGTGTAGCTGTATTGCATGGTGCGGGACCCGAAGGTCAAGGCGTAGATGTGGTTAGTAGGAGGATAGAGGTCGAGTTTAAAGAACTTGATTGCTCAGTGTTTGCATGACCTTTGAGAAGGTTTCCATTACTGCATAGTCACTATTAAAGAATCGTATTACAGAGTATGACAATATCCCAATAACCAAACACGCAAAGCATTCTACAGCACAGATCCCAGTGCGATACAGGGAAGGCCGAGCCCAACAAGGTCGTCGCTCTAGACCAACGTTAGGCTCAATTCAAGCAGGTATTACAAGGAGGACTTACTGCATCGGCTCCGCTCGACTGGCAGCAGGCCACATTCTGCTTGCATTGCTGGTTCAGCAGATCCTGAATGGGAATTCCAAGAACAGCAACTGTCTCGCTTAGTACCTCCCGTCCTACTCCAAGAACAACTGAAAGACTTACCTTGAGCATCGAGCTTGGAGCATTGGTCGAAAAGCTCCACGCCCTGGTTGCCAGAACCACCGCCGATAACATTCTTCAGCAGACCCGCAGCGATACCTTCGTCGATGTCGGTGGTGTCGCCGGAGCGGATGGCCTTGTTGCAGCAAGAGAGCTGAGCCTGGTTACCGCACTTGGCTGCTGCCTCGGACACCGTCATGGAGCTGGGAAGGACAGGGTAGTCGCTGTATTCCCTTACCGCCATAGCGGTAGCCGAGACGGCACAGAGGAGGGCCGCGATGCTGGTGGTGAACTTCATTGTGTGGTGACTCGGAGAGTAGAGGTAGAGAGTGTGATGAGAAGTAAAGGGAATGTGTGAGAGGAACTGAGAACAGAGTGCGGAACAGCGCTTTTTGAGTCTTAAGACGAAAGGCCTGTTATCATGGCACGGGCAGAATTCTACATTCCAAAGCGAGATTTACCACCGTTGCATTCTTGGGCGTCAATCGATCGTCATTTCCGATAGAGGATAATGATTCATGGAGTAGCCCTGGAATGTACCGGAGCCAATGGCTCAATAGCCTCCATTAGGCAAGCTCCACATTCTCCAGTGATAATACATGCCAGAAACGGTCAGACTAGGAGCGACTGTGGCGCTCAGTTACTTTAGTTGCTATCAATTCAACATCACAGTCCACAACCACAGACTCACGGAGGTGCTTATGGGTCGCCAAAGTACGAAAACGGCTGTCATCTAGGAACACTTATGGCCGGATAAGTTGGTTGTCTCCACACATAGGCAAGGGATCACGTTCAACGCAGGAACAACAACTTGTCAGCAATCGATACCCAAACTGCTTGTTCGAGGTACGTTAGGGTTTGAGCGGGCATTCCTCCGAGTCAGTCGCAGATCACAAGAATCTCGGGCCTTCTGAGACCTGTGATGAAATCATAGGCTGGTCAAATTCGTAGTGTTAAGTCAGGCCCTTGAGTGAAGGAGTATCTGCCCTTGGTCTGCCAGAAAACGATCCATTTCTTGGAAAGAGGCCCATAGCACCATGATCGACAGCAGCATTCGAGTCGAGGGTGCTTCAGGGATGAATCTTTAGACGAAACTGGCGATAGCTGAACGCTGTGTAGGCCCAACATCCACAAGTCGACCTCGTGGTTAACATCTATATCTCAGGAGGACCATTACACGGGTGTTGGTTGAAACCCCTCGTTTTCATCACCCTGATATCGAAAACTTCGTGGCTTAGGTTTTTTCTTTTTGAATTGGAATGCCCGTATATGATTATCAAGCACTTCGCTTGCCTGAACGGGAGAACAGCTAACGAATCCGAATCCTTACGAGTCAAGCCTCAAGAGAGTCAAGAACTGACAACGCTCATGTCGACAATACTAAACCCCTCGACTAGAAAGGTGTCCGGACGATGTACTCCTTAGTCTATGGTATAATATCTCGACAACTTCTCCTACCACCTACGTCCCCCGGAACGCACGCAAGATGTGAGATGCTTACTCTGCTCAGTGAAAGCATTGGCAGTGAAGACAGGACATTTTTGCTTTATAATCGCTTGGAGAATTCTACTCAACCATAAAATTATGAGCAGAGACACTCAGCAGGGCTTGGTTATTGCGCCCAGCGATTACTGGAAGGAATTTCTAAAGGCAAGATGGAAAATTTACTATACATGAAAAGATGATCAGCGGATTCCCATTGCCAGTATCAGGAATACAAGAGCTGCCTACCTGAATATTTTCAATAAGGGTGGGACGAATCCTTAACAAGCTCTGCATCCTTGCCTCCTGCTATACCATACTGTGGTGGACCCTGTTGCTCCGAGCAAAGCTTTTCGGATTGATGCTCGGCTTCCTTTCGACACCATACCCAACCCATGTCAAAGACAGCATGTTGGCTGGCTCAAGACAATTCAGTTTGAGAGGTCGGGGAACTCATTACAGCATCGCGCTCTTTCCCCAACCCAGTTAAGATCATTGATGGATGACACACATTCATGGCAACCATGGTCAGGAACATCAGAGCAGAATCGAAAATGTACATGAAGGCTTCGTGGCTGATGAGGTACCCATCGTTACCCTGCGCATATTCAATCAAGCGGAAAATCGACCGCACCAGAATCAGAATGCTCGCGGCGTACAAGCCCACAAGCACAGTTTCCCACGTTCGTGAAGTCCTTTGGGAAAGGCGAGCCGCAAGGGCTGTGACCTCGGGCGTCGGAAATTTGCGAATTCGGGAATGAAATACCGCACAGGTGATCACAAAGATGCTGAAGAAGACCAATTGAACACATAGACCACCAATAGTTATATGTTCTCCGAGGTTGTAGCTGCTGATAGTACCACTCGCCATGGTGCCGCCACCTACAGCCCGGAGTGTCGTCAGTATTCTAGCATACGTTGTCGGACAGATTAGGGAGAGTCTTGCGCACCCGCAGCTTGCATAACAAAGGCAATCACATCGCCTGTAACAAAAATCTTGGTCATCCACCTCACTGAAACCACGCTGAGCCTTTCGGCCCGTAGGTAAGCGATCAGTCGACCTAGCACCATATAGATAGACGCGGCGTAAAGCGGTGGAGCAAGTAGAATCAAGATAGTCTGCACGCTATAGATCGGGACCGATTCCTTATTATTATGAGCCAAGATACGGCAGATGTAGCCAATGATTTGGACTGACCTCCATCAGCTTCCTGGAACGATCACAGCCGCCACAACAGGCGGATGAAAGGTGGTTGGCACTTACAGACACCCCCGACTACAAATGCTATGAAATACCAAGCTCGTGCCCGGCTGAGTTGATAGACATGGTATATCGTCGTGAGAAGAAATAGAGCGACAAAAAGCGCTGCCGCAGCCGTCGATGGGGTGTATCTATAAAGTTTGAAATCGATCTTGTCGTCGCCCGCCATTCCGAGTGAGGGTACGCAAAGCAAGTTGAGTAGAGAGCAGAGATAAGCGGTGCGCAGGGAAGTCAATAATCCGTGAGAGGAGAGAGAATATGTCCTTCTGTTTGTGTTGTTTATATAGGAACTCTGCTGTACACCCCGCCTGAGCGAATACGATTACGACTACGACTTCGACTACGACTACGACTACGAGCAATTCCCTGTTGATGGGTCCATGGCTTATGGCAGGGGAATGAGCCAATGATCACAGTATGCAGTAGGGCATGCAGACTATATTGGGAATGAAGAGAGAAAGGCGTCTCGACGGAGTCAGTTTCATCTCCAGGCTTGGAAGTCGTCTTTCAGGGCAGTCCTTGGAATCGCACATCTGCCATGAGACTGTCTGGCTATGGATTGTTGCCTAAATATGTGCGCAGCGAACTCTCACATCTTCTCTCACTGTCTTACTCGCTGTCAATCCATGTGTCCATATGCAAAGCCTGTGTCATGGGCCGCGTCTGAGACAATGGACGCGCTTAGTATAGAGAAGTTGTAGAGGAGTCAACAAGTCTGATTCTTAATATAAATGAAAACATCCACATCTTCCAGATTCGTTTTTCACGACCACGTCGAGTCATTTGCACTTGCTCTCATTCTCCTTCGTTCTCCCCCTTTCACTCTTTATTGAATCTCTCTCTTTTCCCAGTACAACATCATGGCTACTGAAGCTTCTAGTTTCAAGCTGTATAGATATGATCCTTCTATTGGCGCGGCTGTTGTCTTTATTCTTCTCTTCCTTGGTGGTTCCTGCATCCATACCTACCAGGTTGCACGGACTAGAACATGGTTCTTTGTTCCATTTGTCCTTGGTGGATATTGTAAGTCATCCCAGTACCTGCACACAATCTACCGCAAGAGCTCATTTGGCGTCTAATCACCAGTCGAATGGATCGGCTACATTGGAGTGAGTCTCGTCCATTAGAGTCCTCCCACAGAGAGAGGCGTTATATTGACTTCTCGATGAGCGAGCCATATCGGGAACGCAAAGTCCGAATTGGACCGTCCAACCCTATATTCAACAAACCCTCCTGCTTCTGATTGCTCCTACCCTATTTGCCGCAAGCATCTACATGGAACTGGGCCGGATAGTCCTACTGACTAATGGGGACTCATATTGTTGGATCAGGCGACAGTGGTTGACCAAGATCTTCCTCTTGGGCGATATCATCTCGTTTATCATGCAAGGCGCCGGTAGGTCGAGCAAGACACCGTCACTGTGCCCTTGCATTATGGCTAACAGTCTCCAAGGCGGCGGCATCATGGCAAGTGGCAGTGCCAGCGCGCTCTCCACCGGCGAGCACATCATCATCGGAGGTTTAGTCGTCCAGCTAATATTCTTTTCTCTGTTCCTGGTGACCACCCTCAAATTCCACATTGGCATTCAGAACGGCCCGACTCGGAAAGTCCTCCATTCGCAGCCGCCGTGGGAAAGGCACATCTACGCAATGTATGGTGGCAGTCTTCTCATCTTTGTCCGCTCCGTCTTCCGCCTCATCGAATATGCCCAGGGCAACGACGGCTATCTCGTGACACACGAAGCATACATGTATATTTTCGACGGCCTGCTAATGCTTCTGACCATGGGCGTGTTTGCATGGATCCATCCGAGTGAAATAAACGCTTTGCTCAAACCGGGGAACAAGGCAATACGGCGCGTCTACATTCTCTACTCTGCGGGGAGTAGAATATCAGGTTGAACGGTGTAGCTTGCAGACCCTTATGCAAGCGCCTTCTAGTTGACACACTTTGTTTATCTGCCTACATGTATCATACAATTTTGGACGAGATGAAGTTGCATTTGGGTGGGCCAAGGCCGTGGGGCCGACTTAAAATCTCCTCTGACGCATCTGGCGTTTTCGCTTTCGCTTTCGTGTTCGTACTGGTAGATAGCTGGTACATACGGAGTTTTGAATAGAACTTTCTATTCTTTATATATATAGAGTGTATCTAGCCTGACTCGGTTAGTTGCTGCACAGCCACCTCGAATTTCTTTAATGATTCAATCAATGCACGTCGTCTCATTATCAAATTGTATACAGGTGACCATTACATGCGGATTATCGGATATCCTCTACCAGCAATGGCTACGCGGAGGTCGCATAAAAAGTCCCGCAATGGCTGTGACCAGTGCAAAGAACGAAGAGTCAAGGTTTGTCCTGTTTGCTTTCCATCCTCTTCCTGTAGATTGTTACTCACATGCTCGCCTATGGCGCTCTCCATCTGATCTAGTGCAATGAGGACCATCCCTGCGGTAATTGCTCAAGGCGTGGTATGAATTGCACCTATAAACGGCGTAACAGTTCATCTCCTATGGGAGAAGGGCTGGACAATGCGTCAGGTTTAGCAGCTGGCGTGCACCCCCCCGGGGAGTTATGCAACTCCCGATTTCCATCGATTTCCGATAGCGATGCCTTCGGTTCGTTTCACGAGAAGGTAGCAGAGGCAGCCTACTTCGCTCACGAATGGACCAGCCAGGACCCTGAACTAATGCATCATTTCACGCTCCACACTTCCAAGTCTCTCGCTAGGCGGCAGCCGATGCAAGAAGTATGGCAGGTTGCTGTCCCGACATTGGCCTACGCTTCTGAATTCCTGATGCATGGCATTCTTGCCCTGTCGGCGCTTCATCTGGCCCATCTCAAACCTGAAAATTACAGCCGGTACATGACAAACTCCAGATTCCATATCTCCCTCGGCCTGCGCTCTTTCCGGAGAATACTTCCCTCGCCCACGACTGACAACTGCTGTGCATTATTCGCCTTTTCAAGCCTGATCATGGTTTACATATATGCCTCCCCAGCAGAGTCCGCCGAGTTCGACATGGTTGACACGCTTGAATCCACCCTTCATTTGTTCAAGCTGTGTCGGGGAACCCTCGTCCTCAAACCTTTTATGCTTCATGTGCGAAACAGCTCTCTAGGGCCACTCTTCCGGCAGGAGTTTGGCGCGCTGGAGTTTGATGAAAGGTAAATTTCTTTCCAGCCTATCCGATTGTTCTACGCATGTCGTGTAACGAGAAAGCACATCTACCCCTCCCATTTTCTCAGTTCCAACCCTATTCGAAGCACAAATACGAAAGTTGGGGTAATTCTCAGCTCACAATGCCACTAGGGAGACCTCAAGCAATCTATTTCCAGGAGTCGAGTCCCAGCTTGACCGGCTCAGACAGCTTATTGAGTCGGATCCAGCAGAGCCTGAAGAGAGAAACACATTTTCCCAAGCGCTTCACCATCTTCAATTATCATTCAAGGCTATCCACAATGCGGAATTGCCGTTGGAGTGCGGAATGATCTACATGTGGCCTCTCTCGGTCAAGGAGGAATTCTTCGATCTGCTGAGGCAAAGACGCGCCGTCGCACTTGTATTGCTAGGTTTCTACTGTGCTCAACTCCATGTCTTTTGCGACTACTGGTTCGTCGGACGGCGAGGTCATTTACTGTTCTCCAGCATTTCGGCTGTCTTGCCCAGTCGACTCGCCTCATGGCTGGATTGGCCAAGAGACTTCATCTTTGAGGACCGGGATGTTTAGGAACAATATACATTTTCAACCTTTAATTACTTTATTCTTTCAACACAGAGATTGGCATAATTCCGCTTACACAATAAAACAGCAATGCCATTCTCAGTAAGCTAGATCAAACTAGGTAGAGGGCTATATGTCCGCGAAAAGCAAAATCCATGGTGCTGTCAAACTTTGCTGGCTGTATGATTAACGCCTTCTTTTGTCCGTCTAAGTCCTTTGAGACATTTGCCTTTGCTTCCGGGGCGTGGATCTGATTGTATGCAACCGCAGCGTAATCTAGGGTGCTTTCATGTCGATTGCGTTATGGCATAGTTCAAAGATATCAAACTGAGACTTCATCTTCATGGTAAGAGATCGAGTAATATGGTTAATTGACAGTAGACAGTTGGGCAGGCGGTGGCAGAATAGGCACCCCTTTTCCGACCCGACCTTTTCCCCGCACCTGATCTGGACCACCATTCCGTCTGCCGACGTCAGCCATCACAGATACCCCAGTCCGTCAAAATGAAGATTGTCTACATCGGAGTGAGTGCTCTCATCTTTATCTCTCAAGTCTATGACTCAACTGACTTGAATATTGCACTCAGATCTTACAAAATGCCCAGCAACCCGCTGTGGAGCTCTGCGCTGAGCGCGAGCTCAGCAGCTACTCCCGTTTCACTCGGGGCAGCATCAGCGAGTTCATGACCATGTTCAGCAAGACCGTTGCCGAACGCACAAAACAGGGCCAGAGACAGGATATTCAGGAGCAGGGTACGACCGATCCAGCAGCGCCTGTTAGCTCGTATTGATCAAGGCAGACTTTACATTCCACGTCTACGCCCGAACCCAAGGCATCGCCGGTGTCATCATCAGTGACAACGAGTATCCCTCCCTCGCAGCGCACCAGATCCTCTCCAAAATCCTCGACGAGTTCCTGTCCCAGAATCCCACCGCCGGGACCTCGCGGAACCCGGTTCCCTTCCCTGCGCTGCGAACATACATTACCACCTACCAGAACCCCCAGGAGGTCGACAGTATCATGAAGATTCAAAAGGAGTTGGATGAGACCAAGATCGTGCTACATAAGACTATCGAGAGTGTGAGTTGTGGTTTCCGAAGCTCGCGAGGCGAGGGCTGACACACGCTAGGTTCTGGAACGAGGAGAGAAGATCGACGATCTGGTCTCCAAGAGCGAGGGGCTGAGCGCTCAGAGCAAGATGTTCTACACGTCCGCAAAGAAGCAGAACTCGTGCTGTGTGATTATGTAGGGTGGGTTGCACAATCGCTCAGTGAAGCGAAGGGTTTCAAGAATCGACGCGGATGGTGGATGGTGTCCGAGGTTGGAAACTCATACGGGCAGCTCTGCTGTTGCAAATATCGGCGTACCGATCCGGGGACATGGCCTGAATTTTCGCGTATTTGCTGTGCTGCTCATTGCTCTATTTGGGGAGACTCTAGAGAGGTTGGTGCCTACCAGCCTGGCCTGATAGATCTCGTGATGATTGGTGTAAGTTAGGCTGCCACTCACTCAAGAGCCGGATCAGATTGCTGGTGATGAAACATTTGTTCAATTAATGACATGAATGCTGTTATTTTTTGTCTCACAAGCGGTAAGCCCCACTGCTCGGGCTCACCGCAATAGCGTTTCAGTACAGGGGCAGCCTCGCCCTGAATCATATTCGTGTCGAGTTGGAGATTTGCGGCCTGGGGCATCACATCACGTGTTGGTTTCCTTTGTTGCCTGTGGTACGCAGGTACTCCGTATCACAGTTATTTTTGGCGACAACTGCAAAGCCACGTTTTGCTTGTAGGTGTAGCCTTGTCAATGTCATCCACTATTATTCCCCTGCCATTCCTCGTTTCGTCTCTGTGGGTCAATCTGGTAATACAACGCGAGGTTCCTTGATCCCATCCAGTCCCAGGAGAAGTAGTCAGATGCTTGAGCCTCGTCCTGAAAGATAAATCGCTCCTTAATGCCATCACTGGTTGAACATCATAACTTGCTGATGCGCTTCCTGACTTCTACGAGGTGGCGGGGTATATTGCCAAAAGAGGCAATAGGGCACAGGGTACACTGGTTAGGGCAACTCCACCCTAATCAATTATTGCCAGAATGTCTGAGGCCTAAGATAAAGCCCTAGATGCCGATCATCCAGTCTTCTAGAACCACGCAATCTGGATGGTCCCTGGCGGTTTTAAGGTACCCTCGAAAGTGAAACTATTGCTAATCCGATCCACTTTCGAGCAAAGCTTTTCCAATAACCGTCCTTCATCCTTGCTCCCGGTGGACTCGGCATTGCTTCTCCCTTTTCCTATCAGCAGAGAATCACCAAAACCACCGACTGTACCCGGGCTCCCGGCCCGGTGCGTGTCTGATTGGCCGCAACCGCCGAAATGATCCATATGCGGTAGTATGAATTGTGCGGTGACAGTTGGCATCGTTGGGGTTTCGTCTCTTATATCGTTGGTTTGTCTTCGTCCTTGACTCCTGCTTGAGCAAGTGATACCGTCATTCTTTTGTCTCGTCTCTTTAGCGTTGATCACAGTGAGTGTCGCGTGTCCGTCGACATGGGTCTACCACTGCTAATCTAACAACTGCTGTAGCATTGCATTAGCCAGAAGCGTTTACACATCTTTGCATCGTCTACCTCATTTTGAACTTGAAAATCTTGCCAATTCAACATCCCTGACTCTAATGACTCTGGTTTGAGCACCATGGACCAGGACCCTCTCATCCGCCACTCTTGGTCATTTGGTGGCCAACGCAATAGGCTCGCCGAATACCTGGCGGCGGATGTTCTAGTTGCTGCAGGTTCAGCGACATTAGTGACTCCGGCTGTCATGATCCTCGACCGGTTAGACTCCAGCATGGCCCGTGTGCTTGGTCGATACTAACAGCAACCAGGCTGGTCGTGGAAAAGTCATCCTACAACCAACCTCTCCTACCTGCCTTTCGCCGACATCTCTGGCTTTCTATCACACAACCTGCGACCTTCCTCACGTCGCGACCAAGTCTGCTAGTGTGGTCTCTATATACCGCGACTTTTGCAACAGCCAATGCCACGGAAACCATCCTCAACAAGGTCTACCCCGCCATCGACCATGCAATCGCAGGCACCACCACGTTTCTCTCCACCTTTGTGGTAAACTCGTCTGTAGGAATTTGGAAAGACGTGAAGTTCGCCCAACTATTCGGCCACAAGACGACCACTACTACAGGCGAATCTGCAACCAAGACCGCAAACCCTCCATCCGGGGCAGCCTCAACAGCCACCTCACAGCCCAAGATCCGCACCGTCACCCGCTCCTTTCCCCTGGCCACTTACTCCGCCTTTCTCATCCGCGACGCCCTCACCATCTTCGGCTCCTTCAATCTCCCGCCCTTGGTCTCCGCCTCGATCCCCGACGCGGTCGCCTCCAGCGAGTATCTCAAAATCCTCATAGCGCAGCTCGCAGTCCCTGCGTCGATTCAATTGATCAGCACCCCGATCCACCTCCTCGGGCTGGACCTGTACAACAGACCGATGCAATTACCCGCCAAGGAGCGCTTCACACGCGTCAGTCGGGACTGGATCGGAGCGTCATTGACGCGCATGTGCCGAATTATTCCGGCGTTTGGGATTGGAGGCTTCGCAAATACCGAAGGCAGGGCCTTTCTACACGGACAGCTCGACCGGCTACCGGCTGAATCATGAACAATTATGCCGATACTTTATTTCAACATAAGAACTTTATGAAGAATATCACGAGTCGTGGTCATGGTCATGGCCGCATGATGTACGGAGGCGGGGCAGCCCTAACCCTAGCGGACAATGATCGGGGGTTCCACCGCCGCCTACCACCGGGCCGGCCGAATCCCGGACTTGATAGCACATTGAGGGATTTGATCACGCATCTCATCCGGGGGAGCTCTCTGAGATCGGTTCTAAGAAAACGATCTCGAGCAAAACCGGCATCTCAAGACCGGGTGTTGTTACCCGCTGACAAGAAGGCTTCAGCTCGGACTACGCCAGTGAGCCAATGATCATTCACCAAGGCTTGGATGCATACCTGTTTCCCCGACCTCTGTATGCCATCTTTGGTATGCTTTTTGACACCTCCAAGAGCAAATCGCGGGACCCCGCAATCAATGGGATGAGTTGACAGTGGGTCTGGTACGACGATCATTGACAGTTATATACCATAGCATTCAGGCTAGCTAGACTTTGAATGGAGTTTCATATGTAAACTGAGCAATAACGTGAGAATAAAAGATAGTAGGCCTTGCATTTAACTCGATCAAATTGGGGACTCCAGACTTCAATCAGCAGAGGCGCAGCAGTTTGGTTCTTCAATGATCTGGAGATTTCGTGACTTATGATGTATGTCACATGGTATCTCAACAGCTTGCACAGCCTTATACTGTGTAATCTTATAGAGCAAGCCTCGTTGACTCACTGCTCAACAGATGTTGAAGAGCACACACAACAGTCAAAAATGAGTGAAATACCAGCGGTACAAGGATAGATGATCCTTTATAGATAGAGTCCAAGTCTCCATCTAACCTTCGTTCAGACTCAGTAGGGCTGCTCCTTGATCCGCAAAGTCTGCAAGCCTACAAGCAGGCATTCCCATTCATATTATAACTTCTATTACAGCCAGGAACTACGCGAAAAATACCAGAAGACTCAACCCAAGGCAGCAAGTCCAACAGACTCCCTATACTCACGCAACCTCCCAAGGACGTCCGCCCCATTCCACAACTCCCCGTCTTCGCCGTCGCTCTTCTCCGGCATCCCCACCTGCTCCAGCGCAAATGACCCTCCCACGGTCCCGTAGCAACCCGCCTCAACCACACTTCCCGTATGGAGGTAGCCAATAGCATACGCCCCGAGGAACGCATTCCCGGCCCCAGTCGCATCGACGATCTTGGAATGCTGCTCCCTCCCTGGTGCAGATGTATAGAACGGGGGCAGCCACGTGGGAGGGATATCGCGAGCTACAACGACGCTGCCGTGCTCGCCTGCCCGGACGACCACGGTGCCTTTTCCGTCTGGGCCGACCCCGCTCTTCAGGAATCTCCGCGCCAGAGACTCAATCCTGGCCTTGTCCAGAGCGGCTGATGGCGATTCTCCAAAGAGCGCGGCTAGTTCTAGGTGGTTTGGAGAGAGCACGTCGACGACGTGTGCGGCGTCCAGGCTTGCTTGGAGGTTCTCGGGTTGGCAGGAATAAGGGGCCGGTTCCCAGATTATGAACGGGCGTTCCGGCGCGCCTGCTTCTCTTCTGAGAGCGAGGAGGCTCGCGAGGCGGGTTTGGATGTCTTGGGGGGGTTCGAGATAGTGATATGCTTTTGAGGTTAGGAGCGGGGTGTTCTTTAGATTGCTGTCGTGGACTGTAAGGATTGGTGTGGTGTATTTGAAGTGTTTCGCTGGGGAGTCGATCAGTTTTATTGTCTCATGACGAATGAATCATGTGGGAAGAAGACAGGGAGCGTGATGCGCTGTAGGGAAGGGATTCCGTACGTACGTCCAAATGAAGTATCCTTGTACTCCAGTAAACCTCTGGTTGATGGCTTGTCCGATTCTCGTTCGACAATCAATGTTGCATCCCAGCTTTTTAACCGGTCCTCCATGAGCTTTGGAAAGTCATTTCCAGTATGGATCATCCAGCCCAAGGTATGGCTCAGCGGAGGGCGGAGGAATAATCGAGCACCAAGCGTGGCTGCACGAGTCGGATCAGCCCAACGACAGGGTATGCGTCGCGATCAGCTGGAAATGCCAGAATAGAACCAACCATAGGCACCAGAACCGCCGAGAACATCAGTCAACAGTTCCTGGTTGGGAAAGCGGATCTCGTCGAGGACCACCAAGCCGAGGCTTACGAAGGAGATGCTGGGTTCTTCCATTTTTGCAGGTCAAGTCATCGCTTTCGCGTGCGCTGCCCCTTGACAAGACAATTTGAGCTTACGTCCACAGTCTGTTCTTATCACGATGGAGTTTCTGGAGAACAATGAAAAGAATCACGTCTATCTGGATGGTCCGAGACAGTGAGCGATCACATGACGACTCTCTGACGACTGCTTGGCATAGATCAAGTCACATGACCGTCTATGTGAGCAAGCCCTAATCCACCAGGTTTTCCATTAGGATACACCAGGTCTAGACTGCCATTATATAACTGTGGTGGTTACAAGTAGTAGAAATAGTAGTGCAATACGTGCTCAACAACTCATGTCCGATCCGCCAGCACTGATACCCTCGTCAGAGACGCAACCCATGCTGGCTTTACCAAAACTCGATGCACCGCCATTACCGCCATCCCCAGCTTTCGTGGCTGACCGAAAATTGAACAACCAGATGAGGCCAAAGGGAACCTCGGCAAGACCAAAAGCCGAACTGTTATTGATTTTCGAGGCGTCAACAGCCACGCTATGTCTTCAGCGTCCTTTGTCGACATTCGGAATTACTGGGCGAACCTCTTTATCTGCATGATGCCGCGAGGATGCACTATGTAGCGCCCATGATATTAACTCTTCCACCCCTAAAAGCACCGATGCAAACTTCCGAATGGCATCTTCAGAGGTTGCGTCAGGACCAAGGTCCCACTCAAATCGCGATTGGTCTATTCTTTGCCGTTTAGGGGAGCAAGGCTCCTGCTTTGACCACTAAGAAGTTTCGAGGAAGGTCGAGCTGTTGAGGACTGACCACATCAATATTCACGCAGCGATGATCCAATTCGTACCGCATATGGGTCTGCAGGGTCCATCTTGAAGATCAGAATCTGTGAATATCATACTCTCCACTGCTTTCTGCCACGTGAAAATCTTAAGAGCATTGCTGGCCGAACTTGGGTAGACCCATGAGGGATCTACCCACACCATGACATGCTTGAGAAGACTTTTTACATTGGCCCCAACGTTTCTGTGGAAACTGCCCCAATGATGCCTAGATATACATTAGCTTGAATCTAACCATGGTTAGATTAGATGCACTTACCAACTTGGGCACACAAGGGTGCGATTAGCACGAAGGTTCTCAAAGACTTGGACGTATTGATCATCATCGAGGGCCATTAGGAAACCAGGGCGACGATTGTGAAATGTGTGGCACGTTTCGCAATGGTGGATGTAATTAGTCATTCGTCTGTCTTTTGCTGCTTGATGAAGTTGCAGTGCATGCAATGGACCATGTAATACCAATATCCAGAATTCCGTGCATAAGTCTCCAACGAAGGACATTCACTTTCCGAGGGGTTAGAGCCGCACCTTTCCCCAAGGCGTTTTCACTCATTCAATAAGGCAAACCGAACTTCGAAAGAGTCGCATCCATAATTCTTGAAATGAACTGCCCTGCGACACACGCGGCAAGCGCAGATCAGGCAGATAGAGACCAGCCTGATCACATGAATGCGTTGCGATTTGCTAATGCACTCCCACAATAATGCCTTAGCATCCGGTGAAATTGAGCCTTAATTCAAGGCCACGTAGATGTATCTTGGTGCTTTGCTGGTTTTCCGTTGTCGCTGTACGATTAGTTGAGCCTGCCAGCCCGCCTCTGGTTCTATCCACGCGGGGCTCCAGCACGAGAAGGCGAGGGTCGTTATTAGGACCTCTTGATCTGCGTACAAGTGCCAGTTTGTATGGAATCCGTGCAGCCCAAGTGGTCTATTTGCGTCGTAATATGACTTGATGGTTTGAATACAAGAGAGGCAGCTTTCTGCTCAAAGACATCACTGCAGTCTGGATCGGATGGCTTCTTGCCAGAGGGCAACATCTGCAAGGTCGGAGTTGATTCTAGATCGCAGAATTGTTCCCGAGTCTGTCAAGGCGCATGGCATCCGCTCATATTTCGCCTTGATGAACCCAGGGCATGGGCGTATATTCAAGCTGTTGAAACGCGCAAGATACCCAAGGCTTCAGGAGATTCGTAAGCGTCCTCAAGCTGGCAGTGGCGGAAGAATGTTGTGAATTTGCCGTGCGATCAGTGTGTGATGATAAGCAGTCCATCTCTTGTGCTGAACCAGAAGAAGCCTCGGTGGACATATGTGGTAGTAGAATTTCCCAATCTAGGGGGCCATCGGAGGTGCCTCGTAAGAGATGTCAGGAACCTGAGTGCTGTCGGCGTCAATAATGCATGCATCTTCTCGTCGTGCAATCGTCGGGACCTCCACTAATCCGAAGGATAACCGTATTCTGTCCACGTTCCTACTAAGCATTGTTTGATAGGCGCGCATGGTGTTCTACAAAGGATGTAATATTCCGCGAAAACGAGGTCATACAGTTTGGAGCCCTTCTTGATATGCACCGTTGGACTGAGTGGAGCTCTCCCTGACCTAATCTTTCCTCGTGGCTTGAATATGGGCCATTAATAAATGGAGTAGCTAGTAACATTATTAAAATAGTTAATCATATAGTTAATGAAATTTCAACGTACTTGTACCAACAGAAATTTTTAAGAACTCGTCCTCAGTAACAGTTGTAAGCCCAGCATGATTCCACCGGGATTTCTGAATAATGGCCCAGTTTTGATGGCAATCATGAATTGGGGTGGGCATGGCTCGAATCCAGATAGTCGATGTTACGAACATTGTAGTGTTTTCTTTGAGACTGGGGAATGGACTGCAGCCTCGAAGCCCCAGCTGCTTTGGGGCTGGTAGATCTTGCATGAATCTGCCGTACTGGGTCGGTGCAAGGATTCGTGCGGATGCAAAAGCCTTTTTGTAGAAAACAAGACGTAACTGAGAGGATATCTTTGATGTTTCCAAGTCGCAGCATGGACTTATCTCCAGGCTTTCGAGGAGAAACAATGAACTGGAGGATTTCATCAGTGGAGGCTGTTCATTGCAGCCACTTTCACAAGACCGAGATTCCAATCAGGTTGACCAGGGAGCAGAGGTCTCGTGTAGAGGAAGCCCACTGACGAGCTCTTGCATGAGCTTTTCCAGGTGAGTATTACTCCTTAGCACTGACATTTGCCACCGACCAAAGCGGCTCCTCATGCTTTTATAAAGGGTAGTATCCAAGTGACCAAGTCGCGCAGATCTGCGTCTCTTAAAACCATAGGAGGAGGGGTTTTCTGCAGCGGCCCGTCTCACAAGGTAAGTCTGTCTGCGTGGAACATGAGGCTTTTTAACCAGAGCAAGACAAGACAAATGGTTAAAATTGGTTCTGATACCCTGTAAGCAAAGAGTAAAGTGTTGCTTTGTGTTGTTTAGGGCGAAGAATAAGGAAAAGTGAGCAATTCAAAGAGATTGGCGACCTATCCAGCCCATGTGTTTCTTGGTCTTGATGAATCCGGCTGACGGGAGCAATGAGTCTCTGTCATTTTGCGTCCCTGCATAGAATACATGTTAGCTTTATAGGGCGGTATAGAGATGGATGATGACTGACAATTCGTAGCTTTTCCGTCTGCAAGCCACAAGCACGCTTGAGCAGTGCGAAAGCCGATTCCCTGGGTGGTTTATGGCATCTTGGCTATGGCCGATCTCAACGAAGTGATGATGGAGCCAATGAAGCGGCTTATTGGGTTCAATCTCCAGAGTTTGTCAAAGTCTGCTGGCCATTTTGACAAATACTTGCTCAATATCGTAGGCAAAGCCATTCGCCATCGTTAGCTGGGTCCATTTCGGGATAAATGGGGGGGCTGTCAAGTAGAGGAGCCACAAAGGAAACGATAACACACAGAAGCCAAATAATGGATGAGTGCAACTGCTTTAGACGGTGTGATACATTCAAGATATGGTTTAGAGCAAAGTAGTAGACAATCTTTTGATATCCTTATCAGAATGAAGATGAAATTGCATGTTGAAGAGGTAGATAGATGATGAGAGAAGAAGTAAATTGCAAAGGGCCCTAGAGAAGCAGCTGTAATATCTTCAGTGAATATCTCTCACTGGATCGAAGAAGCTAGAAGTGAATGCCCATTCAACTCTTTTGTGAATAGATCCCAACAAGATTGAGGGTTGACCAAAGAAGGAAGGACTCTGCAGCTAAAGTATGAGTGAATCTCTTGCCTCCTCTGTTGCCTTCTGAACAGATTTGGATGTCTGTGGAAGCAGTTCCAACGTCTGCAGAAGAACAGACTGGAGCTCCTTGCATGTATCCCGCGCGATTTCTCCAGCCTGGTAGTCCCGCTCGATCCCCTTCCATAGCAGTTGCATTCCGGCAACGACATGATGGGGATATGGATCGATAGCCACGAGAGGAACCGATCTAGAAGCAGAGTCTCCTCGCTGCGGGATTGCAAACCGGTTATCTAGTCCAAAGCGGAGGCAGTTCATCAATCCCCCCTCAGCCTCGGATCTGATCACGCCCATTCGGTCGAGGAGATCCGTCCGTCTGGCCGTTTCGACCGCGTCAGCGACGATAAGGATACAGAGATTGTAATGTAGCATGAGCTCATCTACTCTCGTCAGCCCGATTCCATCTCTGAGGGAGGAAACTCACACCACCGCAACTTGGTCAGTTGCCCCAGAAACGGCATCCGCCTCTCACAGGCCGCCAACAGCGGCCGATACGTGCCATTGAACTGACCGACCGCGTCAACGACACACCCATACGCCCGCTGCACGGCCTCCTCCCCATGGCCCTCACGCAGCGCCTCCTTGAGCACCGTCCCGACCTTCCACACGCGCAGCTTCCACGCCTGCGCAGCAGCAATCACCCGATCCGCCAAGTCAGCGGTAACCACCACCCCGTCCCGATCCGCCGCCGTCTGCTCGTGGAAGAGCTCCGTGCAGGTCTGCACCATCCGCCAGGAGGTCTCGCGCTCCCAGCCCAGCAGCCCCGCCGAGAGCACGGAGCTGGTGTTGAAGGTGAGCGCCGACGAGGTGTCGAAGGTGAGCGCGGCCCAGTAGAGCATCCCCTCGAGCCGGAGGAAGTCCGTGCGCGTTGCGATGGCGAGGACGGCGGTCTGTGGGTGCTGGACCGTGGAGCCGTTGAACTTGAGGCTGCGCTGGCGCGCGCGCAGATGCTGGACTTGTTGAAGGGCGGCCTGCACGCAGACTTGGGCGGGGAGGCCGGTTTCTTCTTCTTTGTCGGGGATCCCTGCGGGCACGGGGACCATGGAGAAGAGGTAGAGGGTCAGCATGGAGCGGTAGCAGGGGCGGTTGATGGTTTTGAGGAGGTTGGCGCGGAGGGTGCGCCAGAGGGAGCGGATGAGATGGGTGGGGGC